AAAAAAAAAAAACTAATATTACCACTAAAAATAGTATTTTTGAAAGAAAAAAAAAAAGGTTGTATTCTGCAAAATAGTGTATATATTACAATTGCATGCATAATTAGCACGCCACAACTGATCACTGAAATTACTATTTATATAGAATTTGAGCTTAATAATATTATAATTAAACTAGTACGTACCTCGCGCAATGCACGAGACATTGATATTAAATGAATTATTTTCAGACGACTCTATTCGTTTAAGTCTAAAAATCAATAGAGTTATCATATATTTTTCACTTGTATATTAGGGCTAGTTTGTAAAACAATTAATATATTATCTATACATATTTAATTCTTTTTTTTATCGGTTATACATATTTATTTCTTAATTTGAAATAAAATAATGTTTGACAAGTTGAGTATTAAATCAACACTAATTAATTTATTAAGCAAGTAAAGACGCAAAGCAAGACAATTGAATTATCCAGCAATTTAGGGTAATATATAGTTATTTCCTTTATTAAACATGATTTTTAAAAATAAAACAACATCATCCCCAAATAATAGGCAACATTCATAGTTTTGTTGAAAACCAAAATAACAAAATCCTTAATTAATGGGTAGCATTTAATGCTGCCTTTTTTATAATAAAAAAAAAGTTACTAAAAATGGAATGTAATTAATGCAAAATGATTTTAACCAAAATTTGACCTGCTATTTTTGAAAAATAGTAAATCTTTATATATATATACTAGTACGTACCCCGTGCGATGCACGGGCTGTATTTATTTTGGTAAAATTTCTAATTGAAAGCTATTAATCAATAAGTTATAATACATAGAACATTTGTTAGGTAGTCGTAAAAAAGATCATCATGAAAAAATCATACATTATTAAAAAGCTATTTGTTTTTCCATGCAAAATTATTTTTCACTTGGTAACCGTAAATCGATATTTACCAAGATTGCTCTCCACTTGGTAATTGTGAATTGCATAGACACTTCATTCTTTTATTTTTTTTGTTGATTTTCGGTATGTTACCACCATGAAATAAAACTATAGTGAAAGTATGTAATATTGATAGATACTAAAGATATGATTATCTGGTGAAGTTTAATTTTATATCGAGTATAAGAAAAATTGTTACCTTAAAGTTAAAGTGTGATATTTGAGTATATCTTTTTTTTTTTTT